AATTGGCTTTACTGGAAGATTCATGCTGACGCTGTTGCCATGGTAATCGTGCGTCATATGACGGACATCATCAGAGCGAGGATAAATCGTCACAAAAAAATGGAAGCTAACGAGTCAAGAAAACTTTCTTGATTCGTTAGCTTGAATTTGGTTATGACGATGATACCTCGCTCTGATGATGTTCGTCAAATGACGGACGAAAGCTTAGCACCTTTTCACCGGAATCGAAGTAGATTACCATGGCAACAGCGTCAGCATGAATCTTCCAGTAAAGCCAATCGACAGCCTTCGTCTTCTGGTGGAACCGACCTTCGAATCTCTTCACCCAACACTTTTACTTGAAATGGAAGTAAGCTCAACAATTATGAAACATGTGATTCCTCGAAACAATCACACTTTTTTACAATATGCAATCTTTTCAAGAGAAATAATAGCCATTTTTGAGATCCGACTACTACACGATTGTTTGCTCATGTGGTCGATGTTATGTTGGTGAGACATGCCGACCTATTCGACAACGGTGAAAAGTGGCGGAACATGCAGTCCGGAGAATGTACATGAGATGGAATGATCTCAAGCTTATAGTACGTCTGCTGTTAATAGGACGGTAAGAGAGACTATTGAAATTAATAGCTTAGAGCATACGTTGAATGGGAGGAATGATGGTAGAAATTTGAGTAAGAGCCATCTATGCCTGATTGATAGATTGAAGGAGAGAGAGAGGGTGTTGAACCGCTATCCAAATGGAGATGATTCTAACTTCACTCACACTTGTCCAACATGTTAGATTAAGCTCATCAACCAAACCAAACGTACAAGATTCCTCAACCCTTGAGTGGTCAAGCCTTAATGACCCTAGTCTAAGAGGTTAGGACGGGTGGTTTAGCATCTTGACGTACACACTTACAAGCTTATATCTCATCAACTCAACCGCAGTCTCGGTTGAGGCTGTTTCTTGTGTTATTAAGCCTTGACGACCAGAACCTGACCTTAGCCTTTTTCGATCACTCTCATTTAGGATCGCTATTGCGTATGGCCGTCTTCACGTACACACACACACACACAAACTCCCATAGAGCCAGTAGGATAGATAATTAGCCAAAGCATTCTATGTCTTTCTGTACCCTTTAATTTTATTTTGCTTATTCGAGTCTGATAGACTTCTTAACTTAGCGTCTGTTAATGTAGGACTTTTGCAAGAATGAGTTCCAGCTCTGATTATGGACGAAAGCTCAGCCAGTTTTCGCCCCAAAAAACGGAGGAAGACTCGTGGACTACATCAACTTGAAGGTGGTACTAAAGCCAAATGGTTGCCATACAACGAGAATCAGCCGGCGTCTTCTGATGAGCTCGAACATCGAATCTCTTTTTCATGTCCTTCCATATAAAAAAATGAATGTTATCGCAAGAGATTCATAGAAACCCTGTTTCCCCCCCCCCCATTTTATTGCCTAATGTTTGCCATTGCGAAATGTTACCAAAACCCCTGAATATTTTTTAATCTGCCTTTGCTACAGAGTATTTGGTCTATATGCATTAGTTATTTAATATCAGAGGGTTTATTATTTCTTCTCCAATTTATCTTGCTGCCATATTCACCAGTAGAGCCACTATTACCTTGCGTGATTGTGACTAATAACTGTCTGAGTATTTCATGTGTAAAACACTTATCTTATATATTATTAATTATTTGTCATGACTTATTCCTTTTCATAGTACGATACATTTCCATTTGGTATTTCAGCTAACAAGTTAATTACTCCATGGAAATTTATTGTATTCAGTTTTTATTTGTACATTATTTGCATTATTCAAAACCGTTTTTTGCGCGGATACAAATAGCATCGATACAAGGTATATTGTAATTCAGAGTAAAAAATAAACTTCTACAACTTGGGTTAGGTAGAATAGTGCGCAACCTTTGCGCAACCAGGCATATAACACCTATAATCTGGTCAGATAGGCTTAAGTCAAGATTGCTAGAATTGAAAATTTGTGACTGACATGATAGTAAGTTTCTCAGAATGAATAAGTTTAGTATTGCCAGAAATGGGTTGACCTCGTTGTTGCAACTTGGTCTTGTTGTCAGAGCGACTTGGTAGAACGCAGCTAGTCCGAATTCGTCCGTCATAGTAGTTGTCATGCTCCCCAGCATCAGAAAGTGGACTCGGTACCTTCTCAGACGTTTCGCCGGCATCGTAGTCGGCAGCATCAGTAAGTCTTTCCATTCCCAGCAAACCAAGCTACGAACTCGTCAAAGAGACAAGTGAAGTCAATCCCTCGACAACCGTTCTGCCGAAAACGATTACACTATCACTCATATCTCTGTCCTGGCCTATCTATCTACTCTTTACCCAGTGGGATAAGAGAGTAAAGAGTAGATAGATAGGCCAGGATAGAAAGAGGAGTAATAGTTAACCGTTTTCGGCAGAACGGTTGTCGAGAGATTGACTTCACTTGTCTCTTTGACGAGTTCGTAGCTTGGTACGGCGAATGGCAAAACGGACTGATGATGCCGACTACGATGCCGGCGCAACGTTTGAAAATGTACCAATTCCGCAGTCTGATGCTGGGAATTATGATTACTAATATGATATACGACTTAGGTTTAGGTGCGTTCTATTAAGTCACCCTGACAACAAGATCAAGTTGCGACAAAGAGGTCAACCCACTTCTATAAATTGAAAGGAGACTGCGAACATACCAGAGGTCACAACATCTTGGTCTTCATATCTTCAATTAGTAATGCCAGTTTATGCATATCAGTAATTTCCTGGTCGCTCCGCTTTGTAAACCATAGTATGAGCAGAAAGGAGACAAGTATTATTTTGCAAGTAATAGTCCTTTGTCATTATAATGAGAGCATATATCACCAAATTCATATATCCACAGCTAAAATCTCTTTCTCCATATGGACATATATATATTGAAATATA